TCTAGTACCATCACAGTTATTGACTGTAATCAATAACATAAGAAGTTTTTTAACAAGTTTACAGCTTGCCGAACTTGGGCGAACCATGACACTTTGCATTTTTTGTGTTTGGGCTGTTGTTAATGTTGGGAAGTTCTTGTGGAGTTGGCTACTTCTCCACATAACTTTCACGGGTAAAAGCACAGTCTAATGGCAAAAGGCATGAGGCGCTGAGAAGAGCCAGCGCATACACGTGATTCAAAAAACACTGCAATTCGTGAACTGAGCCCGGTTTATGGCTTTAAACATCCAATCCTAGTTCAGCATAGTATATACCATAGTTGATCCGAGAAACGAAGATGGAACAGATCTTGTGATGCTGTAAAAATAAGGTTCTGGTGGATGTTTATCTTGCAAAATATCTATATGCTGTGACTCTATAAATGTCCGCCGGGTTTAGAAAACTTTGGAGTATGCTCATCGAGTACAGAACGACATCCTTGAATACTGAGCACCTAGTACTCGAACACAACAACAATTCGACCCGGTTCCTATGTTCTATCTCCAAACATCTTTTCAAAAATTATTGTTGGCGCTTTTCCAACTTTTCTGGTAGTTAGTCAGTCATTTCATGATAAGATAGCTAAATGAGCAAGGATCATCAGAACTCTTTCACACTGGAAATTTATGAATCATCAGATTTGCTGTGTTAGTGCCAGCCAGTGGCGTACCCAGGATTTCGGCTCGGGGGGGGGGCGCGACAAAAAATTGTTTCTAAAGAAGGTGCGTGGCGTTAGCCACGCACTCCGAAAAATTTTTTGGGGTGCTTCTCAAAATTTTTCCGGGTCCCCGACCCCTAAAATCTGGAAAAAGGGGGCGTGGCGTCAGCCACGCCCCCGAAAAAAATTTTTTATAAGGCTAAAATGAATTTTTAAAAAATTTTAAAAATTATTTTAATTATTTACAAGTAAAAACAAGTCACTTGCACATTTTTATAACCCATGTAAGTAACTTTCAAAAATTTCGCGACCCGTTCTCGGGGGGGGGGGGCGCGCGCCCCCCCCCCGCCCCCCCCCCTCGGTACGCCACTGGTGCCAGCATATGCTGTTGCTCAAGACACTATACATAGAACCCCCAGGTCAAAAAAGTTCGTCTCCTGCGTTGCAAATTGGACCCGGTTACCGTCCTACAATAGTCATGACGTTTGCAGTTGATGCTTGCCTACTACAGATTCTAAGTTCGTCCCCTAGTAACAACTGCGTGCCTTAGCGGCTCTGAGCAAGCCGGTACTGCAGGCAAGTGACACCTGCGTACTCTCAGATAATCGCTGGAGGCAGGCGGTCCGCAAACTCGCGCTTTTCTGCAGGCGGTCAGCAGAATTTTGGTGCGTGGCCAAACCTTCAGCGGGCGGCACTTCCTTTACGGTCGCATATTCTGCCAGCGGGCAGCAATACAGCATTTTTTGCAAGCGCTCGGCAAATAATTTTTTTCAGCAAGCGCTGGACTCTTTTTACGCATTTTCGGGCGTACGTCGAGCACAGGTAAGAGTCTGTGTGGCAGAGGCGTCAATGTTGGTTCAATTACTCAAGTTTGAGGTACTTTCTCTAAGCGGAAAGTACCTGGGGGCTGCGCGGTCCTCCACAAAGAACCGTGCGGCCCCCGAAAATTCTGCATATTCTCGCGGAAGGTCCGCCAGAATGCGGCCACTGCGCCGCAGCCAATCTATAAGGAAACCGCGATTGTTCTCCAAGCATTCGGCTAGAATTTCGCTAAAATTATTCCAAATTTCTGCAAGCGGACCGCAAGAAATCAGCGAACTATTTTTCCGGTGCGCGCTTGCTCAAAATTCGCATGGCCGCCTGCCCCGGCGATTATCTGAGCTGGCGTGCTTAATTTTCGTTGTTCTATGCTAAGATCGCCCTTGAAAATTTTACTCCGAATCTCGAAAAAGTGGAAAAGTATGTTCAGTCCTAGGTTATGAACTTTTGAAGTGGCAACTGCCATTGACCGAGCTAAAATGGTACGTCAGATGTATGGTAAACATAACAAAACTATCTGAAAACATGATGTAAGCCTCGCAATAGCGATGATTCTACTACGCTACAATACAACCGTCCTTCTTGAAGAGGAGGTGATCCATACCCACCCTTATGCAAGCTGAAGAAGCCATATAAGGCTGCGACGAACGCAGCAATTCTGCTATGACCTTTGAAGAGTGAACAAGACTGTCGAAGCGCATAACAGTCATCAGTACAGTCGAAGCTTTTGATTACCCAAAATGATCAGAACAAGCTGAAGTCGTGCTACAACGTGCCCATTCCGAAGTGATTAGCTAGTCATCAACCTCATTGTGCTGTATCGTTGCCGCACAACAATACAGACAATGAGGAGAGTTACTATGAAGGACTGCTATGTCCAGATCTCCAAGTGCACGAAGGATAACATGCTCCAATCGATTAGCGCTGGGGCGCGACTCAGTTTCCCCACCAGTTCCGGGCGCCATCTAAATCTACAGTCGGTTTCACCCCGGATTAGGCGGAACATCCCATAAGGAGGGGCGCGTACGCACCGCCGGAAGTCTCGCGAGCGCATAGCGCTGGCATTTTGCCAAGCAGGGACTGAGGAGAAGGAAGAGACGCAGACCTCGGTTCTCAGCACGATATGATGTACTGTAGCTGCGAAACGGCGCGAGCTGTTGCGAGGCGGACGCCCGCCAACCCAATTTCCGCCTAATGCGGGCCGAAAACTGTACTTAACCGGCTGCGCGGGCGGTCGCGCGCGCGCCATACTGCGTGCTGGGACCAAGGTTGCTTGTTGCTAGCATTGATAATCGAAAATTGTCGCAAAGCTACCAACACTGACCACACTATATGGTCAGTGTTGGTAGCTTTATTGCTATTGAGAAGGAATACCTTTTCCAACTAGAGCGGTTGTGAAGACGCTCAATGCAAGGGGGACAAACCGCCTCTTCAAAATGTCACTTTCTTATTTTCTTATTTCAACAGTCAATGTCTTGCCCGAAATAGGATCAGCACTTCATTCGTGGTTGTCTTCGTCCAGTGTACCATTATTCTTAGCAAGTGAGAGTAATTACTGATCGCCGACACTTTTAAAGCGCAGGCATTGCGAGTTGACTTTTACACCCTTTCGTATTCCGAAAATTATCAGGAAAATTTTTCCTTGCATGACGATTACTGATAGAGTGTGAGACTCATCAGCTATCCTCAAACTGCCCAAAGCACTTAGGACTTTTCAGGGTCAAAACTTGAGCCTCCGTAAAGATACCCGTTATGCATTGTAAACTTACGCAAATTATCGTGCTACGTTTTGGGGTGATTGATTATTTTAGCTCAGAAAACGTAAATTATCTATGTCAGACTCATGTTGCTTCTGAATCTCCTAATCTCCTAGTTATTTCTCTTTTGAGGTAACTCTGTTAAGCAAGAAAATGCGAAGTCACACCCAACATCCGTATTGCTCTAAATATTGGTAGATTCATTTGACAGTCAATGAAAGTTGTATGCTACGCTAAACTAGATTTCGGTGACGAGCTTATCTCGGATTTGGTCGTATCAACTGGACAGCATTTGAAATTAGCTTCCAAAATGAAGCTTTACCTTGCGAAAAAAGTTTTTTATGGGCAGAACTTTAGTTTTACTTAGTCGAAAAACATCGTGATGTAGGTTGTATCAAGCAGAGACAGTCACATTATGACACACCACGTATTTGTGAGAGCTTTCAATGTTTTCTGGTCTCTAGCAAATTTATGAGCTTCAGATCATGCATCCTATATAAACATATCTCGGATAAGATTGAGGAATGCATACGTATACCTATTGGAAGAGATTCTCCTAACACTTTTATGACCAAAGGGCAATCAAGCACCTTACGCACAAAGATTGTACCACCTGTGATTGCCAAGCCAAACGCGCGCAAGCAGCAGCCAACGTGAAGGGGGAACGGTCAGGAGTCACGGTCGGCGCGAATTTTTCGCGAAGCGATGCCGCGAGCGTTGTCAGCAAAACAGAAGCTAGCACTCCTGGCGCAGTTTTACTTGTGACACGAGCCATGTATCTGCCCCCACCCCCCACCCCCCTAGACTGGCGCCTTGCCACTTTAGCTCCGGGCAGTTCTGTGGGGGTACAAAATTTAGACGCACGTTCGCGGCGAAGCGGCGCGGCGCGCGGCGTGACTCCTGACTGGCAGGACTAACAGCAAGCGAGCCCCTGGTCCCGGCACGCAGTGATGGCGCTACGCGACCGCCCGCGCAGCCGGTTAAGTAGATTTAGGGCCGCATGCACTAACCTCCCCGCGGGGAGTTGATCGCAGCTTAAAAGAAAGCTTCATATTTCGATACTCCAGATATCTGGATTTCACATTGTGTACCTATCCGTAAGTATTCCTACTACCCTTCACTATGAACATGTTGAAGAGGAGCGAGAAGCTGTACGAACCGCATTTTCTAGCTTTAGTATGATCCCTGATGATCCCCGGCGCTTTTCTTTAAAGTCATTTTTCTTTCTCCGAAGTTAACGAAAACCTTCCAAAGTTGTACTGAACATCTAACACAACAGTGCTAAGCATGTTGCTAATGAGAACAAATGAGTTTTTGAAAAGTCGAATTTTTCGGTAAACCTCAAATTTCGACCTATGGATCATCGAAAATTTCATGACTTCAAAAAATCATTAGTTCTTATCAGCAACATGCTTAGCACTGTCGGTTTAAATAATCTGCACAGCTTTGGAGTTTTTCGTTAACTTCGGAGAAAGAAAAGTGACGTCAAAGAAAAGCGCCGGGGATCATCAGGGATCATACAAAAGCTGGAAAATGCGGTTCGTACAGCTTCTCGCTCCACTTCAACATGTTCATAGTGAAAGGCAGTAGGAATACTTACGCATAGGTACACAACGTGAAATCCAGGTATCTGGAGTTCGAAATATAAAGCTTTCTTTTGAGCTGCGATCCCCTCCCTGCGGGGATGTTAGTGCATGCGGCCCTTAGATGGCGCCCCAGTTTCCGCGGCCGATTATGGGCGTTCCTTCCCTTGCAAGCTGTAGCGCACTGACAGACACTTTTTGGCGTATCGATGGCGACGGCCGCATTTGCACCGCTGGAAGTGGAAACCACGGCATCGTAATCAGGTTGAGAGGAACAAGATTGGCCTGAAAATAATAGGTTATGGCCGAATATCCAGTTGTTTTCCGCTGTTCAGAATGTACGATTGAACAACGTGAGTTTTGCTTGTAACACTGAGCTTACGCCAATTTTTTGTTTTCATAGTAGATGTCGTTCTCTAAATGACCTAGACTTTGTGGTGTTTTTCTGCAGAGATGGACGTTTAAGTGGGCCTTTGTCCAATGCAGCGCAGAGATCCTCCTTAATTTCTTCTTTTAGCCAACCTGGAGCTCCTGGAAAGTCATATTTGGAGTCGCCATCTCCAGAATTTCCCGTTCAGCTGCGCGGTGTGTCGGTTTCCTGCCATAGCTCATAGTTCCTTGGCTGCGCATTACAAACAAGCCCACTCTCCAGATCAGGTTAGTTTGAGGCACTGTTTATAGCTTAGCGTCTTTTCACTGTCTATACTAACTTTAATTTATTGTGTCCAAAGCCTTTGGCTTTGGCCATACTTTGCCGTGTTACCGGTGTTGAAAGTGTTGCCAGTGTTGAAAGTGTTAAAAGTGTTGCCGGTGTTGAAAGTGTTGAATGTGGGAATCATCAGTCTTGCAGTTTCATTCTTCCTCAAACGATCTCACCGGCTGGTGAGTTCGTCTGGAATAGAAATGGGAAATGGGAAATGAGAAATGAGACTGAAATGAAATAGGAAATGCTTTCGCAAAAGCTCCTCGAACGTACTTTTTGGAAAGTGAAGGACTTGTTCTGAATAGGCAATCTCCAACACTTGAGATGTAAGGTCTAATGAGAATGCGTGTTAGGTGTCGAATCCGGCGCTTCTGCGATTAGTGAGCAAAAGATCTTTGGGAGGTCTCGCAGCGTTCTCAAATGTTGGAGATTGCTTCTTTTAAACAAGTCCTTCACTTTCTAAAAAATTTGTTCGAGGAGCTTTTGCGAAAGCATTTCCTATCTCATTTCAGTCTCATCTCTCATTTCCCATTTCCCATTTCTATTCCAGACGAACTCACCAGCCGGTGAGATCGTTTGAGGAAGAATGAAACTGCAAGACTGATGATTTCTACATTCAACACCGGCAACACTTTCAACACTTTCAACACCGGTAACACGGGCAAAGTATGGCCAAAGCCTTAGCAATAGTGGATTTAGCCCATCGAGTTTCAAAGGAAGATGCACGATGAAGTGCGATTACGAGATATCATTGCAAACTCTATAGTGGTGCCGGTTTATGAGGAAGATGAAATCTACGAGCAGGAAACACAGCAGGTACTGTAGTTAGATCATGCTATCTTCTCAGCTACCTTACCCCTTTCATATAGATTAAATAGAAGATTTGATGCTTGTTCAATTTCCCACGTCTCCTAATACTTTCATCATGTGATTAATCGAGGTTACTATCTTGTTTTATTGATTCGCTAAAAAAATGTATCGTCCATAACATCTGTACCTCCACCGCGGTTCGGGTTCTGCCATTCTTCTCGTTCAGATAAGTTGATATCTTTGTCCATTCAGGTCCCTCAGAGCGAGCTCGATCGTCGAGATATGGATATGAAAACGTTAGAATCCCGTGCTGCAGAGTCGAATGCTCCACCTGTTGTTGCTGCTGAAGTAGAGCAGCCCCTGGAAGTCATCGACGTCGCGCAAAACGACGAAACCATGCAAATATCCGTAGTGAATGACAGTAACCCTTCAGTGGAAATGCCATTGTTAGAACAAGATATGTCTATGGAAAACGGGGTTTGCTATGGAACTTGTAAAGTTATTTATTGAAATGTTTTGAAGTTATAGATGATGGGTGATTTGGAGATGTATGTTCAAGGGGATGGACGATATCAAAAGGTAGGCCAGCTTTGACGTAGGTGTTGATATTGAGGTCACTGCAGGTCGGAATGTACCAAAATGAAGATGCACTGGGTATGACCGTAGTTGAAGACCAGGAAATCATAGATGAGCAGCATATGGTGAGCTTTGCAATTTCTCCGCTAACCTCCGTAATGTTTTGCTTATCTAGTCAAGGGGTACGCAGATGGTGCATATCGGCGAAGACGGTGCTACTTATGAAATTTATGACGGTGAGGGTGACGGCGAACTTCTGGTTGATGGTGCTCCTTATGAATTCCAGAATGTTCAAGGCGAGAATGTTTATATCGAGGAAACTTTACCTTCTGGGGTAAGAATCTTTCCTTTTTTGTGTGATTGGTAATTTCATATTTTGTTTCAGTCCAAATCCGCTAGTGATGTACGGATGCGGCTAGCAAAACAACGGCATATTGACTTTGTCGTAAACAAAGTAGCCCGTAAAAGTAATGGACGTTTGAAAAGACCGTTGACCATTTACGAATGCGAAGACTGTGGCAAGATCATTAGAGTAAGCGACAAATCTTCTTCACATTTGATTCGTCAAAAATTTCTGTTTACAGTACCCATCAAAAATTGAAGAGCATCGTAGATCTCATACGGGTGCGAAACCCCACCAGTGCCCTCACTGTGGTCAACGGTTTTCGCAGAAGGGCGGTTTGACTTGTCATATAAGATTGCACACAGGTGAGCTATTCTGAATTTGGTCCTTCTCGCCATTAGTACCACTGTTTGAAGGTGAACGACCTTATGTTTGCACTTGGGACTGTGGCAAGGCCTTCCATTCAAATTCGGCTTTGAAAATGCACGAAAGGACTCACAAGTAAGGAATTAGAATAATAATTTTTCAATACCTGTCGTGTTTTCAAGCATTCCCATGAGTACCATCACTCTCAGAACGCGCACTTTTACCTGTCCCTGACCTTGTTTCTTGCAGAATTGGTCGTTTCTTTTGAAGGCATAAAATTTAGTACAATGTGGTAGCACTTATGGGAGCATTCTCGGAGACTGAACTACACAGTGAATCTTGTATTTTTCAGCGGTGAAAGACCCTTTTCGTGTAGCATATGCGGAAAACTATTTTCCAAACGCTCTCACTGCCAACGACATGAAGTGGTAAGTGTTCCAAATGAACTTTGGCATTTCCTCCTCACATTGTAATGTCTTCTTCAAATTGCTAATGATTAACTTAGAGTGTCCATCCTCGCGAGTCGGCGCGACGTGCTGCACAGTTCGGTTTAGCTGCCGCTGGTGCAGATGAACCGGTGTTGCGTGATGTCGTTCATGGTGTGATCGAGGAAGTTCGTATAGAAAAGTCTTTAAAAAGTGAACTGAAGTTATAGTCAAACGGCAGTGGTGGTCCCAGGATTTCCTATCGGGGGGGGGGGGGGGACTTTTTCTGAGTGAAGATGCATGGCGTGAGCCACGCACTCCGAAAAATTTTTTTTAGATGCTTTCCAAAGTTTTTATGGGCCCATGACCCCGAAATAGCGGCAGCACGCCCTCAAAAATTTTTTTTACAAGACTAATTTGAATTTTTAAAATTTTTTAAAAATTACTTCAATTATTTATGAGTATGAACAAATCACTTGCACAGTTTATAACCCAAATAAGTGATTACAAACTTCGCGACCCATTTTCGGGGAGGGCGCGATCCCCCGCCCCCCCCCCCCTCGGACCGTCACTGTCAAACGGGTATTAGCCTCTATAGTTGTTCTCTATCTGCATGTGCTTTCATTGTGAATATTCACAGATTCGGTTTTTTACGCGGGCCCTGTTTTAGGTATATTTCACTTTGTCAAAATGTGGTTTGTTCTGTGCCTGCAAGTTTCATTGATGAAGGCAGTGCCCGAGCAGGTTTGGGAGCACCACAGTTCCAATAGATGACTAAAGAGGCTCCTCATGTGAGCCGTAATCCGGTAGCGAACGCAAAATTATGCTTCTGGCACGAAAAAACCGCTTCAGATGTTCGAACATATGTACAGTCTGCTCCAATCGGGATCAGGCCGAACCATCAGCGTAAAATTGCACGCTCGCAGCGTTAGCTGTCTGCTGCATATGCGCGCTGTCGGAGAGAGCAAAAGGATTGACAGAGAAGCAGGCTGTGGGCGTGACCGCGAACCTCTAGCGACGCGGATTCCCGCCATGCCAATTTTGGACTGGTGGGATTGGGGCAGACTATAGCTGCCCCTTGATTCTATCCCGTCCTTACCGAAGCATGAAAGAACATGGAGGGATACGCCGCTGCGGAAATGACAGTGTCGCTATAGGCTTGTTGCACGATTTTTTAGTTTGGTAAGGACGAGGCTGATGCGGCGGCCACTATGCTCGGTCTTCTGAGGCGATTTTCTCACTCCAGAAGCAATGCTTTAGTCGCAGTTGGACTAACGCTTGTATGGGAGCGAGCCCGCTTCAGCAGCTTATTGGAACTGAGAGGCTCCTTAATCTGTGCGGACGCTAACACTAAATACCGATATGTGAGACACATTGTTTGCGATAATTTCATCAAGGTCAGACCACGACTGACCCTTGCACATATTTTGAATCATTGTCATTCTGCTTCAATTAATGTACGGTGATCTCTTCTTTGCTTTTCAAGAAAGCGCTTTTCACTGGCCTGTAATTGTGCGTGTGCGTTGATTTAAATTTCTAACTGCTTTGTAATAATATCCTGACATAGAGCTCAATATTTGTGTTTGTACTTGTAGGCCTTTGCCATATCGTTTGGCAGACTGCGGCCAACACTAATTCAAACGCCGCAAGCATGCAAAACTTGGACGACTGACACCAGGCCTCCACATTGCTTTCACTATCCAGAAGCTAGCATTTGATGGCAGCAAAATTGAAGAAAAGAAAATCGACGAGGTTACATTGAGGTAGTGCGTGAGCAATGTCCGCAGCAGAAGCGTTTGGCGAAGTCCTATAGTAGCTTTACCCCATGAAGAATGCGCATTGCATGGCATCAGTGGTAAGATCCTACGACGACACCGCTTCTCAAACCATCATCTGGTGCAGTGCTGGTGTTGAGTAGATTTTCCGCTTAATATAGTGTGCTTGCACTGAAGGTGAAATGCGGTAAAATTTGCGCGTGAACAACTAGCCACGCCAGTTATGCCAACATTTCGCGCGCGCAAATGGCAGGCGTCACAGTCGTGGCTATTTCTTTACGCGCAAATTTAACTGCATTTCACTTTCAGTGCAGCACGCTATATTAAGATGAAAATCTACTTGACTATATTTTCGGGTGCGAACGCTGCTTTATAAGCCGCAGAGCGCATGAGGGGGGGGGGGACAGATTTACAGCGGTGAGGATACGCGCGCGTCGCGTTTGGGTTCGTCCAACAAATACTGCCTCTGCGCTTTCGTCATGCAATAGCCTTTATTCATAGCATGTAAAGACTATCTATGTGCAATATTCACCACAGATGGTAGTGCGGCGCTTGCAACTGTTCGAGAGGGAGAACTTTAGCCGTCTTTTAGACTTCGGACAAGAAACCAAGAAATACCGCATCATCTAGCCCTAGTCCTTCTGCTCAACTGCGGAATCTATACAGTTCCTAAACAGTACTTAAAGGATAAGAAAGATTGTGAGCTTGACAACATGATTACATCAAAGCACCTTCCACTCTAAGTTAGGTCTTGGGCTTTTGACAGCTCACGATGCTCAAATCGCGGTGCAAAATGTCGCTTCGCAAGCGAGAAAATCGCTTTGGAATAGCGAAGAGACATAAGGACTCAAGTCGGCACGGTTGCATTTAAGGTATATGATAGCCAATGGCTAGGGCATTCACTTGCTTTGGTATGAGGCATTTGTATATCAGATAAGCATAACAACGGTTTCAAATCAAGCATAATTTGTTTCAAAATATAATACGAGAAGTATGTCTTACAATAAAAAAGCAAGACTTGAATGTTTTAATTTATAAATTCAATAGATTTCAAATTTTTAATTCACATTTATAAAATACAATACAAATACAGTTCACAGCAGGGCTCAGCACAGCTGGCACCGGGTCAAGCTGGATATCGTTTTTAGCGCGGAAAGCAAAGGGGATATCGACAAGGGTCGAGGCGGAGAACTGCCGCCGGCATGCCATTGGCAAGCTGTCCATCAACAAACAAAGGCGTTGTTTTCAGCCAGAACGCAATAGTATGACACCAAATTTGGTGTGTGCATGCGCGTTGGTGGACCGGAACTACGGGCCAAAAATTTATGAAAACTTATGTGAATGAAAGCTGTGCCCAACTTTTTTCTGAATTAGCTGGCACCGTGCCAGCGCTGGGTGCCAGCTGAGCTGGCACCGACACTTTGTTCACATAAGTTTTCATACTTTTTTACATAAAATGTATCTGCACTGTAAAAGATTACATACGGAGAAGAAAGAGTTTCTTAATGTTCTCTTTTCAGCGTTTTATAGCAATTTGAAAACCACTCGGTCCGCTCCGCCGTCGAAAAATCGGCTTTTTCTGCTTCTCAAGATGTGATTCGACCACTTAGAAAGCTCAGAAAGCTGTGAAAAGTTCTTTCATGAAATCAGAGATGCATGAAAAACCTACATTTTTTAACATAATATAAAAATGATGACGGATTTTCAAAACAGGTCAAAAGGGACTTCGTACGAAATTTTCAATATCAAGAGGGACTTCGTTTTGAAATTTCCCTGGTGCCAGCTCGTGCCGAGCCTGGTTCACAGTTGGTACCACTTGGTCAGTGATCGTTGAAGAACCTATATGAGTTTTGATGAAGCCGTATATTCGCGGCCTTTCGACCTATTGTCGTCTTCAGGGGGCCTAAATTCCAACGAGAAAAGACAAGCCAACTCAAAAACCTTCCCTCGTATTCCCGGTGCAATTTAGATCCAAATATATCGTATAGTGCTGCAGAAAACTATCGACTTCTTAGAAAAGACAATTGAATTCATCAAGCTATACGATGAAGTCTAATAAGTGGTAAGGTGGGAGACTACATGCAATGCTCAACGATGACGAGCTACGACGAGGGTGATTACCTCAGCAATGTTTCTATTCCTGATTGAAGTATGATAGCTCGTAGTAGTAGAGAATATGCATGTCTTATTGTTCATCGATGACTTTTTCGAAAGTGAGCGCAGTAGTAAGTATAGAAAAGTGAAGGGGAATAAATCAAGGAAATCAGGGGCACATCAGTTTTTAGAGGAAGCAAGGTTATAGAGTGATTCCACATGTTGTAAGAAAAGATAATACTGATTTATATTTTGGTAATCTACAGCGTTTTGATTTGTAGTTGTTTTCGACTTCCTACATCATACTTATCTTCCTGAGTTTTGAGATCAACTGATATCGCTTTAGTTCGAACTCCTTTTCCTTTTTTTTCGGTGCACTTCAAGGTATTTATAAATAAATAAATTAATAAAAATAGAGAGTTATTGGAATGATTCACATGGAATGTAAGAGCCACTCTTTAATCACCGTGATTAACACAAATGAAATCGCTGTAGCTCGGCTAGTTTTCTCACAAGTGTGAATGTCGAAGGCTCATTTAGCATTTAGTTGCTGGAAATATCATCGACTATTCTTCTGATTCAAGTTGCTATCAATTTTATCTCACTTCTAGATCACTGATTTCAGACTCTGCATGTTAAGCTAGCGAAGATATTCGTGAGGAATATCGCTGAACGTTCGAAGAGAGCCTGCCTTTGTTAACGTTCAAAAAGACATCTATCCTTGATCTAAGTAATCTTCTTAGGGCCGCATGCACTAACGTCCCCGCGGGGAGGGGATCGCAGCTTAAAAGAAAGCTTTATATTTCGATACTCCAGATACCTGGATTTCACGTTGTGTACCTATCCGTAAGTATTCCTACTGCCCTTCACTATGAACCTGTTGAACAGGAGCGAGAAGCAGTACGAGCCGCATTTTCTAGCTTTTGTATGATCCCCGATGATCCCCGACGCTTTTCTTTAAAGTCATTTTTCTTTCTCCGAAGTTAACGAAAACCTTCCAAAGTTGTGCAGATTATCTAACTCGACAGTGCTAAGCATGTTGCTGATAAGAACAAATGATGTTTTGAATCATGAAATTTCCGATGATCCACAGGTCGAAATTTGAGGTTTACCGAAAAACTGGACTTTTCAAAAACTCATTTGTTCTCACCAGCAACATGCTTAGCACTGTTGTGTTAGATGTTCAGTACAACTATGGAAGGTTTTCGTTAACTTCGAAGAAAGAAAAATGACTTTAAAGAAGAGCGCCGGGGATCATCAGGGATCATACAAAAGCTGGAAAATGCGGTTTGTACAGCTTCTCGCTCCTGTTCAACATGTTCATAGTGAAGGGTAGTAGGAATACTTACGGATAGGTACACAACGTGAAATCCAGGTATCTGGAGTTTCGAAATATAAAGCTTTCTTTTAAGCTGCGATCCCCTCCCCGCGCGGAGGTTAGTGCATGCGGCCCTTAATCGAATGTCGGAAATGTTAGCGCTTATGAGAGTACAATTTATATAACCGATCTTCAGTACTGAGGTTCGCACCCAAGGTGTTAAGAGTCGTACCAAAAGTGTTGTCGTTTTTCAAAAATAGCAACTTTTCGCTATGTGGACGGATTTGCTTGACTGTTATTTCGAAGAAGAAATTAAGTAGTTTTTTGGGGGAATTTCTGACAACAGTAGTTGCAGAAGTAAAACTGGTACTCAAGCTTTGATTACTTCAACTTGGATCACCAAAAAGTTCAAATCGTTGCAGAGACTAGAAGCATTAGTGCACGTGTTTTGCAAATTTTTCACAACTCACTTTGTGCTGATAGATATTTCTATTGACAGCATGCTTTCAGATTTACAGTATAGTTTGTTCTTAATTAATTCATGCCTTGGAACTCATACAACACTCCCGAATTCTTCTGCAAGTTCCAGATTTTTGGCCCAATGCAAAATAACCAAACCCCAAAGTCTTCGCTCCGACATGGACAAAAACTACGATTTTTTTTCTAACAAAACGACAGGACTGGGACAACTCAATGCAGATTAGATCCAGCGGAAAAATTGACGGCACTGACACTAGTGCTTGTGATTTAAAAACGAGTGTAGAGCTGTGTTTCTGCAACAAGCACGGATTTGTTTTGCTTTGAGGATATCAGAGAGCAGATATCCGGATCGAAACTGGAGAACATGATTCTCTCAATGCCACACTCGATGAATGTGGGAAGGATTTGAAATCGTCTTCTTCTTCACCGTCTTCCATTCCTTAATTTTTCCTTTCTTTTGATGATAATTTACATTCTACCTTATTTTTCTTTACTTTGTAGAATGCGAGAAACTCCGCAGCAGCAATATGCGTCATTTTATGAAGCATCGCTTGGGAAGCTAATTCTTGTCAGAATCGGAGTAGATGAGTGCTGAAAAGAATTTATTATTTATTGTTGAACTTGAACTGAAGCCAACCCTTTTGAGATAAGACTATCATCCTCAAAGATTTATCCAATAAGTGGTTCAACATGCACACGAATTTGCAATCTGTAGGGTATTTTTTCCTTATTCCGAAAATTTCTTTCGAAGAGTCTGCAATCCCAGAGATTCCGCCTCCAGTTAACCTCTACTATCACAATCTGAAAGTTTATGAAAGGCAATGCGTTTTGCGATGAACAAACCTTGATAGAATTCTTTCTCCTCTCGCTTCTACAAACTGTATTCTATGAGACAATCTATTAGTTTAAAAATATCCCTTTTTGATGGCAATAGAAATGCGACCATCTTTTGATCCAACGGGATTGGCGGTTGGAGGCGGGGCTTCGAGGCCTAATCAAGGCTACGGAAGAGAGCGCGTTGTTGTACGTTTAGAGAGCGCGCCCGCGAGAGAGACGCAGACTGCGTCGCGTGTGCGAGCGGTCGCCTTCTACCCGCCATGCTTGTTGTATTAAAGAGAAGATAAGTCACTTTTTAATTTCTCTGAATGATATATTTATAAATAAGATTTTGTACAAAAAATGTGAAACTTGATTGTAATGAATTCAGATAACATCAAAATTGCGGAAACTTAGGAATGATAAGCTGTTGGATTACGTTAAAACGAAAGTCGATATTTTATAATATTAACACTTTGACTGGAACTTATACTATTGGTAGTGAAAGGTCAAATTGACACTTCCGTCTACGGGAACTGTATCGGATTACTTTAAAATATCTGCGGCACCCTCTGAAATTTTAAGCGAATGACCCAAAAAAAATCTTGCAAAGTTAATGTAAGTAATAACATAATATAACAATATTTATCGAATCATTTGATTAATTATTTGTAAATAAAAACAAATTATGTGTACAACATAAACCCATAGATGTCATAGTGCCAAAATTAAGCTATTCCTGCCTACTTTGCTTTGAATTGTGCAATCCTCATTTCTACATTACTCTTTTTGCATATGTCTTCAAATGATTTATATTATCAGTACAGTCAGATCTATTTCATAAGTCGTCAGATGATGCGATGGTCGTCGGTAAAAGGAAAACAACATCGTCAATTTCTGATGGGTAAGTATGCCAGTCAGCTGCTTGCCATATGCAGTCATCCGCAGAAACGCAAATTTGATGGGGTGCTCCTATCAGAGTGATAAGGAGTTCATGAAACAACTGGACCATAATCCGATTACTTGAATTCTGACCTTCAGCAGAATGCTAGCTTCTGCTCTAATTGGCTTATGAATAAATATTCAATTTTGTGGAAATTTTTGCACTTTTTCCTCTACAGAATAAGCAAAGTTCAATCATTGAGTTCGTCTACCACTGTCTCTCAAAAGGTTGCTCGAAATGATTGGTCATGCTTAAATTATTCACATAGCGGCGAAGCTCAGGTAAACATAGCAATATCGAGTACACAGAAAACAGTTGTATGCTTCCTGAGCATGAAGAGTTTAAAAACATCGAGAAAAAATAGATATTTCCATTCCAAACAAGCCTGAAAAAGCCTTTTCTAAAAGACTGATCTAATTTACTATGAACATTTCCCTTATCTGAAGCAAGTAAATTGTAAAAAAATTCTTATTACCGCAATGAAAGATTTTATTAGCCACAAACTTGTTGCATTCGTGCCCCGGAACTCGGCAATAGCTAATGTGCAAGTTAAGCGGAAAGTTTTCTAATCCTCGAGAAGAGGCTATTCTCAAAATGGACTGCCCTAACGGTTCCCACACAACACTAAGTGTGTCGCTTCTCAAGTCACTGTTGAAGTTAGTCGCATTTTAACGGTTTCGTCCTTTGGCTGTTTTGGCTTTTCGGTCTTCTTTGGAATAAAATGCTATCGAAAGTGATAATTTTCGAAGCCATAGTACGAGGAAGCTTCCACCTTCCCAGTAAAAGTTATCCAAGAGCAGATTAGTACAATTCAATGCATATTTTTCCCAAGTTCTAATGCCCTGTTCATTTCCGGGCCCTGATTAACAGCCGACATATGCGATAAGGGCTCCCGGCATCGAGCCTGTGGTCTCTTCTTTTACCACTGCTACTTCCTCTACCAACTCTTCCATTTCTATCTCGAGGCCCCAAAAATCCCGCCAAAATTCTATAAACACGTTTTTTGGTCCGAGCAAAGATTCCTACTATTACCGAATCGGGCACATGAGTGTAGCTACACACATGCCCGATTCGGTAACATTACCCTCATCGTACGCAAAGGTAACGAGCCAATCATAAGAAATGCGATACTCGTGGTCTTAAACTTGCACCCATTCTTCCTTCTACTTACTATGAGACTGAACCTCAACGAAAATCGTTTCCGCCTTGGTCATTCCCCAATAAGTTCATACACAGTTCGCACTCCTCAAGAGCCTTCATATTTTTATTCTGAGTAGGATCTCAACCAAAATTCTACTTTCATAACAAAAGCCTCTTCAACAGCAATGTACAAAAGAATTAGCCATAACTTTATCTTTTATGTCTTCCAGACTACAGCTGTGACTATCTTGGGCTCCCTAATCGGATTTATCTCACCTTACCCCCTTCCACTCCCCCACCTTGCCCCCACCGCTTTCTCGTCTATCTTCAAAATGTGTATAGAGTTACTACTAATACATTAAAGTACATCATTACATCTCTAGTTATTCTGACTTCAAAGATCGAAAAGTAAGGAAGCGAGAAAACCATTCCGTATGAATTCCACCTTTTCTTTTGAATAAATCATAAGGCACTTACTGTGAAGAGGGTTTACATTCGAGGTACAGAAGTGCTTCCGATGAATTATAGATAATTCACCCCCAAAAGACAAACTGCAAAATTTTGTGACACCCCTGATGCATTTCTGCGGGCAACCTCAACTCCAGCATCCTATGTATGGTTCATTCTTAAAATCGTGACGATGAGTTGACTGCGGACTTTGCGCACACAGGAGCATAAAACACTCATACAAAAGGCATCAACTTAACCTTCAGCACAGTGACTTCCCGTGTCTAAGTACTAACACATGTAAGCAGAAAAACCACCCTAGTAGAGGTAGAAACCAAGAAATGGAAGTGCGTGCGTGTCGAGCGCGGTCGCGCCATCGTCACGATTTTTCGAATGCCCTATAAACCTTGAGAGGAGTCCCACTTTTTGGGAGCTCGTCGTAGTCAAAAATCAAAAGTGTATCAGGTTTATTTATGAAATACATCTTCCTTGCTGCTGTTGCCTTTGGCAGAGTGAATAAAAAAAGTTTTCCATTGTGAGCTACTAAGAGTGCTATTGTATTAAGCAGACAAAAGTGGAGGTATGATCTGTCTATGAAAAATTTTATGGTTCAAGCATCCGTCCCTTTAGGGCGATCTGTGAGGTTAGAAAAAAAAGCTGGTGGTAGCTTTATTCACTTTTGCAGTACTCTCAAGACCATATTATATGACGCTTCGGAACTTCCGAGTACATAATTCAAAATCAGCAATATGCAGAAGCAATGATGCTACATAATCAATACATTGTCTCTTGCTCGATTGGGAAAAAAACGATTAAAACTCGTATTTGAACTTTAGAAATTTGCAGTGTCTTTTTCAAGGCCTCGTTTTTGCCAAGGAAGAAGCATCTTTCTGGTGCCTCAAGAATTATCAACTTCTGTTTATTTAGTCAGATTTCAGTACGACGTTCACACGAACTACGAATAGTGAACTGGAATATGGACGATGCGCCGCCGCTCATTGAAACACCGCCACCAAGAAAACAATCTCGAGGTGCGGTAATCTGAGATTTAGAGAATTCAAGCGAATGCTTTCTTGTCGTAGGAGAGCTTATTCGAACATCTACATTTTACTGAAGTTTTGTCAAGATTCTTCTGCAACAATTTTTACCTCAGAGAAATATTTTTATATTTTGGAGATCAGAAAAACTGAATCCGTGTTTAGGTCTAGGTACAGCTGCTGAATATCAGCCGTTGCCGGCAGAAAAGCCTGCGACTTTGGCTGTTCGTGAATCAGACAGCATAGAGCCGATGTCAGGTAGGAGCATACAGATAAGGAAATCCTGAACCAAAAACTTTGACTTTTTCAGGGTTAACTCCACGATTAGAATCGCGAGTATCAGCACTAAGACGCCGTTCATCCCAAGCGCGAGATCGCTGGGCGACAAAAATGGAATTTCTACTGGCTGTAATTGGTTACGCGGTTGATCTGGGCAATATTTGGAGATTTCCATCGGTTTGCTATAAACATGGAGGAGGTACGATAATTAATCACTCACAGGAGCACTAAAGCATCTCTTTATAGGAGCTTTTCTCATACCCTACCTGGTAATGTTACTCGTCGGTGGTCTACCCATGTTTTACATGGAATTGGCGCTGGGTCAGTTTCATCGGTCCGGATGTGTAAGTATATGGCGAAAGGTGTGCCCGTTGTTCAAAGGTGAGCACGCCATTACTCACCGTGGTATACTGTACAATCTTCGCAGGATATTCTTGTAGGTATCGGATACGGTATCTGCTTCATATGTACATTTATCGCTTGTTTCTACAACGCTATCATTGCGCATGCGGTTTACTTCGTCATCAGCTCAATAGCTGTAAGTATCTAGATTTTAAATATGTTTGAAAATTTATAGCTTTCAACCGCAACGATCTAGCTCTCGCTAAAAATGCAATAAAAAAGTGGGGACGCAGAAGCAACTAATCCAAGTCTTTTGACTTTAGTCCGTGATTCTGAAAATATCTCTTGCACGATTGCACCCAGAATAGCGTAGGCAGAGAACTAATAGTACGCGCTAACAATAAGATTGTACACATAGCGTGAGAATGTGAACATATTTCCAGCAATCAGCAGAGTATCAGACACCACAATGATCTGCGGAGATCAGCTAAGCGCACTGGCGGTCGAACTCTCTTTCGGGGGAGGGGGGGGGGGGGATAAGAGAAAATTTCTCATGTAGAAGGGCGTGACGTTAGTTTCCATCCCCCCCCCCCCCCGAAATTTGTTGAAAGAGTCCCTCCGCCCATCCTCGGTCCGCCATTGGCTGAGCGTAGAGACTTCTGCTTGGAGAGCGGGAAAAACAAAAAGGGGAAACCTAAGTGGGATTTAGATCAACTTTTTCACTCGTGTTTTCCGAACAATGTTTAAAAATCAACAAAAATAGTCGAAGTCGTATGTTTGCGGAACATTATAGGTTACAAAGGCATTTAGGAACACCTCTTACCGTCATGTATCACAGACCCCCGGATTTCCGTTTGGGGGGGGGGGCGCAAAAAATTTTTCGAAGGTGCGTGGCGTTAGCCACACCCGGAAATTTTTCGGGTGCTTTTGAAAATTTTTGCATACCCATAATCACTGAAATCTAGAAGAAGGAGTATGGCGAAAACCACGCCCCGAAAAAAATTTTTGGAAGGCTAATTTGAATTTTTTGAAAATTTTTAAAAATATTTGCAAGAATAAACAAGCCACTTGCACATTTTTATAACCTCCCCCCTCGCTACTGCAAAGAGAATCAAACCAATTATGTGTTGCTATGATTTGTCTACCTCTCACTCAAGCGCTTGAACGATTTTTTTAGGGAAGTAGAAAGGAGAAAGGTGATTAGCGGCAAAAATACATACGGAAGGGCATTTTTTTGTCAAGCTTTAGAAATAATTTGCCGGTGCTTTTCCCAAATTTCTGCTGAGCTCTTAACCTCAAAATATGAAAAAGGACCACGAGATTTATCCCACGCACTAATAGAGCAGTTTGGAATTTCAAGAGATTTAGAAAATGATCATACATCTCATAAACCACTTTAACCGAACTCGTGTTAATAAAGCCTGGCATGGCTTTGTAAATTGTGTCTGTCTTATGTCAATAACCTTGATAACAGTTAGGCTAAAGTTTTGGTGCTTCTCTTGGAAGCTAAACGGTCCAATCCATTAATGACTTGTAAACATCTCGTCTAAGCTAAGGCTTCACTCAGTATCGAGACAGTGTGAAACCGAGGGAAACAATCTTCAGTGCTGACCTCGGCAGTCTTGAGATCGTGAGAGCTACCAGCGCATGGTCTGCATTGTTAGTAACACTTACGATTCATAGAGCGACTTATATAGACAATCTTAATCGTAGATCAAATCTGCAAAGGAATTGATATGAGATTGAATTGCTAGTCCTGGCAAGCCCTTCCTCTTTGCGGCTCAGTGCAGGAGCTTTGGATACTATGAAAAAGTTCTGGCGTTTTATACGGGCTTGTTTCGGGTTCACGCGTCGGGATGGTGACAGATATATTAGAGGTTGATTCGAGTGGTCCTGTCTGCAACGGAGGGGGGGGGGGGGGGAAGGAGGGGCAGTGTTAGACATAGATTTTGTAAGGTCTTAGTGCTTTATCCTAAAAAAACATTGGCCTCTCAGTCGCTCCTATGTACTGTTACCGGCAAGTGTGGCAAATTGTTTGATAAACCATTCCGTCTCGAGGCAGTCGCCTAGTTGCCCGAATTATATTGAGTTTGAACGTGGCTGTGAGACTTGAATGTGCCGTCACGCGGGACTTGATTGCATGCAAGAGTGAGCAACCTCGAACTTAGGTAATTGAACTTTATTCCTGACTTGTTGGCAAACCCGGCTCCGTCCGGGCCTGTCAATAATATATTTGTAATCAGCATGGTCGATTACCCCCCCCCCCCCCTGTGCCAACTCTCAGCCCTGTAGCTCAAATTTTGCAAAAAATCGATAAAATCGATATCGACCGACACGAAAAGTACCCTATTACACGCTCCCCGCCCCGAAGTGTATGTGTGCCAAGTTTGGTCCCGATTGGTTCAGAAATGGAATTTTCTATTCGGAGCATACGTACATACATACATACAAACAGACATTCAGCTTTATATATAAGATAACTATTCAACTAAAATAATGCATTAACGATAAATGATAACTAAATAAAAAGCAGCTAATTTTAGAATTGCAGTAATTGGAGAGCAAGCAAATAGAATGCAAGCCCAAAAAATCCAAATACTGTGACTACGAGCAATAAAAATAGAAATAGAGATAGTTATATACAAAGTGTTGGCAATACAGGGTGCGTCAAAAGTCTGGGAGCCTAACTTTGCAGTATTGCAATTACAAGTACCGGTGGTTTTGATTTCGATTTTATGCCACATAATGCTGCGGTCATCCTCTACAAAATACACTTTATCTAGCTGGAAATGGCTGCCATATGTTTTTGTAGGATTGGAAATTACCAAACTAGTACTTTTGCCGAGCGAAAAAACCAGAATTTTTAGTATTCAAAATTTTTGCTATAGCTAGAAATGCTGTTTATATTCTACGACACTTCGATGCACACTATACAGAAGAGGCTTCGCGCTATTGGATCGTAGTTTTGCTTTGAGCTGTTTTTGCATAAACGGAGAATAAAAGTTTGCGAATTTTACCTACATGCCAGTGGAAACGTCTTCAGAACAAATTTAAAAACCATAAAAGCGCAACAGGCACTGGGACCAGGGCTATATTTTTTGCATGCGTTTTTAAAATTAGAATCTATTGAAATTCGGCCATAAAAACATTTTATACTTTTTGAACGATAATTTTGAGTTTTTTCCGCGCAATTGTAGCCAAAATTGCGGTATGCGACGTACACATACTTCTGATTGAAAATTCAATATATTTATTTCTAAGCAATGCAAAAAATCCTTTTGGAAGTATATTGTAGAGGAGGGGGGGGGCAAATTTCATTACGATTACCTGCATGCCGTGACAAGTGGACTTGCCAAGATTTTGTAGGGCCGCGTGGAAGCCAAAAGACGCAATATTGCAATTCAAGAACTGGGCTGTATCTGCAATGGTTCTTATGTGTGCGCCAAATTTGTCGTTTCTAGGTAGCTTCCTTCTCATTTTGTACAAAAAAGTACTAGGCTCCCAGACTTTTGACGCACTCTGTATAATATTGTTTGATACGGAAATTAATTTTGCAAATAATTATTCTAATCATCTTAACAAATTGTTTAAGGAAAACTGTCGATGTTGAAAACCAGATTGTGTGAGTATTAGAGAACTTTGGGGTCCGTGCGCTGTGATCAGAAAATATTGTATTATAAGATACTTATTTACTTACTTAGATGGCCCGGCTTCACGTGACGTGCGGGCCCCAGCTCAGAAGTTTCCATTTCTCCCTGTCCCTCGCTTCTGACATCCACGATCTTCTTGGCTGACGTCGGTGGCTGCGTCCACGAGTTCCAGGTGCGATGATCGTCTCCAGCTGACTTCTCAGCTGGTCCATCCGTTCCACGATCACGTCTGCCCATCTCGTTGGTGGTCTTCCTCGGGGACGTTTTGCTTCGCGAGGAATCCACTCCGATGTTCTTAGTGTCCATCTGTCGTCTGTTCTTCTCATGATGTGACCGGCCCATCGATGCTTCGCTTTCGCAACGTAATCCGCTGGGTCACGAAGACGGGACATTCTCCTCATATCCGTACTGCGAAGTCCGACGAAATGTTGTTTGTGTCGGGTCATCTTCAGAAGACTACGCTCTAGCGCTCTGTGGGTGGTCCTTAAAGCTTTCGAAGTGGCGACGGTGTCAGCCCAAGTCTCAGCTGCGTAACAGAGCGCCGGGAGAACGGTTGAGTCGAACAGGTTGGCACGAAGCTCCGGGTCCGTCAGTTGGTCGGTGGCTTCCTTCAGAGGCCCGAAGGCGGCCCAGGCTGCTCTTCTTCTCCTGTTAAGTTCTTCTCTCAAGTCGTCTTCTCCATGTTCATCGAACGTCCGAGATACACGTAAGAAGACGTTTCCGTGAAAGGGGTGCCTTCCAATTCCATTTCTGCATCTTCGCAAAGGGCGTTCTTCATGAACTGAGTCTTCTTCCGATTGATTCGCAATCCGATCTTCTTCCCTACTTCGTTCAGTTCCTTCAGCATCGTCTCTGCTTCAGTGATACTGCTCGAAAAGATAACGATGTCGTCCGCAAAACGAAGGTTCGACAGGAATCTCCCATCAATCGTATGCCTCTCTCGTCCCAGTCCAGTGACTTCATCACCCACTGCAAGGCCGCGGTGAACAGCTTCGGCGAAATTGTGTCGCCTTGTCGAACCCCCTTCCCAATTGGGATGGTCAGGGGGCGATGGAATAGCTGCATCGTCGTTGTACAGTCCTTGTAACAGTCGGCTAACGTCCTCACGTAAGCTGGGTCCACTCCTTGATCGACTAGCGCAAACAGGATGGCGTTGGTTTCGACGCTGTCAAAGGCTTTCTCGTAGTCGACAAAGGTTAGGACGAGAGGCAGTCGGTATTCCCGGCAGACTTCTATGACCCTCGAAACCGTCTGGATGTGGTCCATGCAGCTGAATCCTTTGCGAAATTCAGCTTGTTCTTGGGGTTGGGCTTCATCCAGTGTCCTAGATATGCGAGCGAGGATAATCTTCGTGAAAAGCTTGTACAGCACACTCAGCAGGCATATTGGACGGTAGTTCCGAAGATCTTCCCGTTCACCCTTCTTAAAAAGAAGGACGATTCTTGATGTTCTCCACTGGTCGGGAATCCTTTCCTTCTGAAGGTAAGTTGTTAGGTGCGACGCGAGGATCTCGTATAGACGTTGTCCTCCAGCTCGCAGAAATTCGATGGAAAGATGGTCTGGTCCTGGAGCCGTGGACGTCTTCATGGTCTGAATCGCTGTGCGCACTTCAGCAGGTAGAATTCGTGGTGGTACTTCTCCAGTGGGAACAACGGGCATCGGCACGGGTGTTGATGAGCGGAAGAGGTTGGTGTAGAAGTTCTTTGCGATAGATTCCACCTTGTATCGGGAAGAAGTCGGAGTCCCGTCTTCGTTCAATAGTGCAGCCAGCGGTACGCGATATTCACAGAGGTCCCTTCGGCACTTCTTGAGACCTCGTCTTCCTTCGGCTGCTTCCAGTATCTTGGCTTGCCTGTACTTCCTGAGATCCTCCTGCAAAGCTGTTCTGCAACTGGCGTTGGCTATCAGTCGCTCGAGATGGGTTGCATACGGATCCTGCCTCAGAAATCTTCTTCTTTCAAGCATTTCCTTGGTGGTCTTTGAAACGCGTTCAACATTCTTCTCGGAAGTCACTGAGGCGCACTCTCCGCAGGCTCACAATCCTTTCAGAAGCCGGTCGTAGTCGTACGTTGGGTCCTCCTCGATGGGCCAGTCACAACTTGATATGAGCTCCTCCAGCCTGTTACCGTCATAAACGACATTCTTCCTTCTTGCGGCACTGTGGCAGACCTTCTTTTCCAGCCTTCGACTGAATCGTACCTTCGCTCGAAGGAGGCGGTGATCGGAGCCACTGCAGAAGGATGGAACTACTGAGATATCGAGCAAGCTCCACCTTCGGTTGGTGAGAATGTGGTCGATCTCCGCGTGGGTCGTTCCGTTGGGCGATTCCCATGTCCACCGGCGATGTTCTTTCTTCATGAAGATGGAATTTCCATGGAAAAGTCGTGCGGCGGAGAGAAGCCCAACAAGACGGTTGCCGTTTTCGTTCCGGAGCTCATATCCAAACTTCCCGATCCTATATTCCTTTTCCAGTGGCATCCCGATTTTCGCGTTGAAGTCGCCCACAACAAACTTATAAAAGGACTTCTCGTTGCGGACGACCTCCTCCACATCTTCGTAAAAGCATCTAGTTCTGATTCGTCAGCTGCTGATGTTGGAGAATAGCAGTTGATGATGCTGATGGTCTTCTGATGTGGAGGTCGTAGTCGTAGGATGCCTAGTCGAGGTGATAGGATCTCGTGCGAATCGACAAGATGGACGATAGATGGGTGGACGACAAAGCCGACGCCTCCCACGTTTCGTGGTGGAACCTTTTCACCACGAATGATGAGGGTCCCATCACTCATCTGTCGCACGTCCTTCTTCCTGGACTTCGTTTCCTGCAGAGCGATGATGTGGTAGTTGATGTGCTCTGCAGCGTCGAGAAGAGCGTGGAGGTCGGCGTTTGTGGAGACTGTCCTGGCGTTGTAGGTGCAGAGCATGAGGCAATCTCCATGGCGTGTCGTCCGGGCAGACGTGTCGTTTTTGTTCAATCCGAGCGCCCTGAGTACCCTGACATCGTTCTTGCTACCACCCGGCGCCGTAGGCGGGATCCGATGTACAGGGTTTTTTCTAAATCTTCTTGCTGTCTGAGTAATAAAATTTGTTCCCCTACAAGAGGTGGCTTACTAGGCCTACTCTTGATTTCCACGGGGCGATCGCTGACCCCGGGCTTGGAGCGGGGAGGGACCGCCTAGCGACCAGAAGAAGCCAGACGGCGGAGGATCTAGCGTGGCAGTTCTTAGCTAGGCATCCGGCCGAAACCGAAAACGTCGAACTCCTTCACAGCTTGGGAGGCCCTACCAGAGTATACACTCGGCTGTGCATCGCAGTTCGACACCCAGTGTCACCCCCACCCCACAATGAGGCGACCGACCATTGTGGGGGGTTATAAGAAACTATAAGAATATCAAGAAAATGTTAGCAAAATTAAAAAAGGGAAAGGAAGTTGATACAGACATACACATTAAGCTTGCTATGTTCTATTATTCACTTATATACTGAAGCATAAGAAAGATAAACAAACTGTTAGCGAGCTGTGAAATTACTGAGTGCTGCACCAAGAGAAATGTTGTTCATCGACCGCAGTCCCATACCAACGGGCAGACATGCAATCGGTATGCATGCACAAATGTCGTATGAGCGATTGAGAATTATCGTCGTTTCTTAAGATTGGAAGACAATAACTACAATTTTAACGGAGTCTTCAAGGCCTGCATGTCCTGAACTTTTTCTTATCACGCCGACATGAACTTGAACTGAATGTCAAATAATGTGCCAAATAGTCTTTCTGCATAGCCTCGTTTATGCAGGAGTTAGACATAAAGTCCCTCGAATACACTTATTAGTACCTGGTACCATTTTCGAACGAAAACAAGCTTGTTTCCAGCTTGAAGTCCCATGGAAGACATGTAATAATTCTTGGAATACGCCACTATGCACGGATACTTTAAATGCAACTCTTGGCAAAGGTGGAGAGCGTCTCACCACACCGAGCGAGGAATTTTATTTGTGAGTGGACACATACCAGAAGAGTATGGATTTTGGGCTATATGAGATCTTCTAGTCATAAAGTGTTGGAAATCCAAAAATCAACGGGATTTGATAACATTGGAGGCGTAAAGCCGTCGCTGGCACTTTGCTTGGCTTTCGTCTTCCTTCTTGTATATTTTGCTATATGGAAAGGACCGAAGAGCACTGGAAAGGTTGGTTCAAACTCTGTAATCTTGCTATTTCAAGTGTTTTCAGATGGTATGGATTACGGCGACAGCTCCGTACATAGTGCTAACTATCTTGTTGATCAGAGGTGTCACTCTGCCCGGAGCTGGCAGAGGTATATACTATTACCTGATGCCGGACTTCAATAAGCTCTCCGATCCCAAGGTGAGGTTAGCTGCCTGTACAACAACATTATGCTATTTTCTTTGCGTATAGGTATGGTCAGCCGCAGCCACTCAAATTTTTTTCTCCTTGGGTCCAGGATTTGGCGTTCTTCTAGCGCTCAGTAGCTATAATGACTTCCACAACAATTGCTATAGGTCAAGCATTCTGATCTATAAGTACAGATGTACGAAAATAGAACGTTCAGTTTTTAGGGACGCTGTCGTTACGTCTACAATCAACTGTTTGACCTCGTTCTTCTCTGGTTTTGTCATTTTTTCCACTCTTGGATATATGTCTGTGCTGACAAATAAGGAAGTTAGCGAGGTAAATAGCTCCCAAAAGGATCTAAAGGTGGAAAGTTGAAAATTTAGGTAGTAGGCGATCATGATGCCTCTTTGATTTTTATCGTTTATCCCCAAGCTCTAGCCACCATGAGCTACAGCAGCGCGTGGTCGTTTATTTTCTTCGTCATGTTGATAACTCTAGGAATCGACAGTACGGTAAGTTTTTTGCACTCTGCTAAAAGGTGGCTTCCCTGCTTTGAACTTGTGAACAGTGATCGTACGCTTGCATATGAGCATACGCTCAATACATAGAGCCACGTACTCTGGTAACCTTCACTTTGAGGGCCATGAGAGGACACTACCTTCACCTAGAAATAAAAACAGAAGTCATCCGGGCGCTCCGGATGTTATGATCCTGACCATATAAGAACGAATGTGATTGAAGCAATATGGGGAAGAATACCATTAGAATAACTCAGCGAAACTGAGAATTTGCATTTTACAACCTTCTTTTACACTGAAAAGAAGGTTTCTGTGAAATTTTCCTCAGAATTCAGGACAACACTTCTTAGTCAACCTCTTGTTTGACCACAATTAAGTTTCTGAAGTTTAGGAAAGCTAATTTAGTAAGAACGAGAAATTGCGCTTAAATCTTGCTCAGAGAGTCGCGCAGGAAAATGCTGGTCTATCTCGTTAATGAGTGATTCTCAACGCCTGGGACGTTGTCAGTGCTCCTCGTCGTCGACGATCAGAATGTGATACATAATGTTGCAGAGTTTCCTTGAGACCCCGCGGAGATCTACTAGCAGAGCCAAATGCCCCGTGGCTCTGGTCTGTCTCCGCTGCTCGTCTGCGCCCCGCGCGCTGCGCGCTACCTCGCTACCCCAAACGCGGGACGCGGGGCATTTGGCTCTGGTACCCTTTTCTTCGCTGTTTCGAACCCAATTTGAGCAAGCTATACATCATTCTGGAGCTCTTGATCTCTACTTTCACAATGACAACGTCTTAAAACCACATTTCTTGATTTGAACGAGAAATCCGGCAAAAACGCTGTTCTCAAAAATCTCTTGTTTTTCCCCTGGTTCAATTCTTTTCACGCGGTTTTTTCGTGTACTGTATAGATCTTGCTTTTGTTCATAATGCAGGCAAACCCAGTGCTTATTTCTTCAATTATGGCGGAATTTTTTGTGGAAAATCACAAATTGCGTTTGTCTTTACTTGTTCTGTTTCAGTGCTTTCGCGGCGATTGTTGCTCAGAACAATAAGCGCAGCAATCCAGACAACGTCCCAAACAGGAACATCAGTGCGGGGGTAAAAATTAAAGGACGCATCAAAAACTAAATTTGGATTTGACGTGCATTTCGACTTGGTAAAGGAAATTTCGCGTTTTCCTAACTAATTTTGTTCTTGTCTATCTTCTTCTTGATAACCACTACTTCCATAACATAGTTTTTAAAACAATCACAAAACAGAAATCAGCTTTTTCTCGTTTATTCTCGTGTTGCGAATTACAAGTCCTAGAGCGAAAATATTCACTTTGAAAAGCCGCCAAAAGAAAGATATCAAACCTCATTGCAGCGTTTTTATCTGGTTTCAGCAGTTTTTTTCTGCTTTTTGTATCTACTTTGCGTCTTTTTCTCCTCTGATCTTCTAACTTTCACTTTTTGTGAGGGCAGATGTTCCTTCACTTATGACACCCTGTCTCTAGACTATCGAAGGTATGCATATAAGTTCAAACAAAATAAGTGGGGTGGAGGTTTGGCAATATTAGATTTAAAATATAAGTGCGACTTTCTTTCAGACTTTGAGGAAGGCACTGATGATGAAGTTTAGGCTCAATAAATAAGTTATAACAAACTTGTTGGCTCAAACACTGAGGAAATGGCGTACAGTTGATGCGGTAAAGTAGTGTTTGAAGAGCAAGGGACAATATGCAGCCTATGAATTCCGCCCGGCGTGCAGCTGCTGTATGTACAGTCTGCCCCAATCCCAACCAGGCCAAAATTGGCGGGAACCCGTGTCGCGAGGGTATTGCGTCCGTCACGTCTACGGGTAGCCAGTCTGCTCTCTCCCCAATTTCTTCGCTCTCTGCGACAGCGCGCGTATGCAGCGCAGACCCCTAGCGTTGCCAGCGCGCAAATTCAGTCAGCGGTTCGGCCTGATCCCGATTGGGGCAAACTGTAAAGGCGCATGGTTACCAGATTTCCGCGGAGGACCCCTACCCCCTCCCTCTCCTTTCGGTGACATAAATTCCCCTACCCTGTCCTTGCGTTGTCAACAATATTTGCGCGAGAAAAACGTCAACGTGGCTGCTGTTGACACAAGTTAACTCCTAACAGTTCAAACAAAATTCCTTGTGGGTCCTCAAAATTTTACGAAGTCTCCTTTGATCTGTTTCGAAAGAACCCATTTAAGCCAGCGCGGTTCAACGAGCTCAAGCATGTTCTTCCACGAATCCTAGCAGTAAAGCGACCAAAATGCGTCAACACATTCACGACAAGTCTGCTTTCTCGATGACTGCCATTTCAACCAGAGCATATCTCGCAATACTGAATTTGCGTTATATTTTCTGGCCACTGATGTAACCCATGATCTGAGGTGTTGATCTTCTGAGATGTATTCCAAAAGAGTGTAATATTCAATTTGCCAAAAAAGATTCATCGTAAACTAGTAAAATCAAAACTTGAAAAAGCATACCATCCACCGGTGGGTCGTATTTAGTGAATGTTACTCATTCATGAACTTGTTAAGAAATGTACGCAAAACGCGCTCGCGTCTTCTATAAGACTATAGTCAGAGAATGATTGATTTACAAGTTGCAGCGATTTGTCGGCATTTTGAATATTGAAACTTGTTTTCGCCCAAGTGCTCACCTCACCGCAGATGCATATTATTCATCGTAATAGTACTCGCAGTAAACCACACCATGCGAATTTCAGTTTGCCGGAATTGAAGCACTAATTACTGGTCTCTGCGATGAGTCTAGACTACTAACACGGAAGCGCGAATGGTTTGTAGGTGTTGTTTGCGTGCTCTACTATTTCGGAAGTTTACCTGCGATTAGCTATGTGAGTTATATGAGTTACTATTGTTGTTTACATCATTTTACATCAGGGAGGCCAATATGTGATTCCTTTCCTGGACGAATATGGAGTCTCTCTGTCGGTTCTATTCATTGTCACATGTGAAATGATAGCTGTGTGTTGGTTCTATGGCATTAATCGCTTCAGTAACGATATCAAGTAAGTTAAGTACAAAGGTTGCTAATAATAAGTCAAATATAATAACCGCATACGCCCACTCCCATTTTTGGTCTGTGTTTCAATTTCCTAATGCTTAGCTAGTAGGTGTAACAGGAGGAGTGTTTAGTGGTACTGAGAGGTTTCGACCTTACGAGTGGAAGATAAACCCAGGTACTAACAAGGAAAGGATACTTGATCGCAGTGACGATTGGGTAAGTGGTGTATACCGCGTATACCGTCCCCAGACGGTGATCTCTAAACCGCTTTCCATATCTGCTATGACGTCATTCTGGAGGAGTTATAAAGGATTTTTGGTGCAGTGGATAGTGGCTTGGACTGCGGAGCTGGACGTCGTGGGTTCGATTCTTCTGGGATGCCACCCGTTTTGCATTTTCGTAAATTTTAGCAGGCAAGTTGCAAAACCTCCGACATCAAAAAAGTTGGTTTTCACAATATGATACAATATATTTATATTTATTGGCACCGAACCACCGTCTAACCTAAAAACACTCGGTAAGAGATGACCAGTTGTGGACAGAAGATTGCAGTTGATTAACATATTGTGCATCAAAAAAGCGATAAACACGCCATTTTTGACGGGTCAGCTGCTCCTCTCTATGTTAAGCACGAATTCGGAATTTTTTAATGTAAAACTGAATAAAGTATTTAATGAAGAAGGCTAAAAACAAGTGTTTTTAGGTTAGGCTGTGGTTCAGTGCCAATAACTGTAAATATCAGGTTGTCCCATAAGTTCCGTCCGTTTTAATTTTCAACCGCAATAAATCATGAACTTCTTGATCCTAGATAGGTTCCAAGGTACCGTTCGATAGAGCAAATCAAGCTCTACAAGATGACTATCTCGCTTTTGCATCACCTTTGATCCATCTCGAGTTTCAAGGCGAAAACTAAAAAGATCTAACTGCCCGAAAAATCGAGAAATCATAACTCCGTTCAAAAAAATTCTATAAAAATTCTAACTTGCTCGCGTAAACAGTATCCATATAACACATTTATATACGCCATTGCCGTGTTTTTTCCTTGGCTAGAAATCAAGAAAACGGAGATTTTCATGCTTTTTCCAAAGTGCTGCTGTGATGTCCCTACATAGATAGTTGTATACTTCTAGCCTGTAAAAGTGCAAACATATATTTTCAGCTCTCTACAAGCTTTGGTTCTCGAGAATCGAATACAGCTTGCCTTAGTTGGGTGCCTTACGCTAAAATCCATATTTCTCGAAAACTAGTGCCTATAGAGAGCTGAAAATTTACATTTGTACTTCTACAGGCTAGTAGTATACAACTATCTATGTAGGAACAGCACAGCATCGCTTTAACAAAAACATGAAAATCTTCATTTTCTTGATTTCTGACTATGGAAAAAAATACGCAACAGCGTATATAAATGTGTTAAATTAATAGTGTTTACGCGAGCGAGTTAGAATTTTTGTAGGATTTTTTTAAACGAAGTTATGATTTTTTTTTCGATTTTTCGGGCAGTTGAATCTTTTCAGTTTTCACCTTGAAACTCGAGGTGGATCAGAGATGGTGCAAAAGCGAGATAGTCATCTTGTAGAGCTTGATTTGCTCTATCGAACGGTACCTTGGAACCTATCTAGGATCAAGAAGTTCATGATTCATTGCGATTGAAATCCAAAACGGACGGAACTTATGGGACAACCTGATATATTGCTTCACATTGTGAAAATCAACTTTTTTATTTATGTTGACAGGTTTTACAACTTGCCTGTTAAAATTTACAAAAATGCAATACGGGTGGCATCCCAGAGGAATCGAACCCACGACGTCCAGCTCCGCAGTCCAAGCCACTATCCACTGCACCAAAAATCCTTTATAACTCCTCCAGAATGACGTCATAGCAGATATGGAATGCGGTTTAGAGATCACCGTCTGGGGACCGTATACGCGGTATACATTGCTTACCCAATCGTCACTGCGATCGGGTATTCTTCCCTTGTAAGATCTGCCCTAAACAGAACAAAAACGCGGCTCAAATACCTACCAATTAAGAAGGACTACCAAGTACAATTTGGTTTCATGGAATCTTTGGTTTGTCCCTCCGTCAGCGTAAGCTTTCGTCAGTAAAGAATTCTACTCAAAATATTAGAAAACACCTGGTTTTCTTTGGCCAGCTTTTTCAACTCCCAAGCTCTTCTCTCAAGGCTCCATTCTTTTATACCCTGCTGGGAGGTGAGATAAATTTTTTTCCCACCAGCGAAGCATCTATAGATCATTGTCTTTCCATCTAAGTTTGGATCATAAGGTTGCTACCTCTCCATCTCCATTTTCATGACACGCTTAATAGTTCCACATTCAAGGAAAAAAATGAAAGCTACTAGTCATGCACCGAATACGGAGTGTAGAGAATATGATGCCATTCAACTCTCAATAGCGAACCGAGGAAGGAGGGCGCCCTCCCCCTCCCATGAAATAAATTGCAAAAATTCTGAAAGTTGTTTACGTGAGCTTTAAAATGTGCAAATGGCTTGTTTCTATTTTTGAGTATTCAAAATAACTTTAGAAATTTTCGATGTTTAAATAGACTTGCGAATTTTTTTTTCGGCTTAACTAAGCGAACGGCCACGCTTGAACGCCTGTCCTGATTGTCTGGCAATACATTTATAGGCTACTGCGCGACGATGGCGCAATATCTTTGGGCGCGAACGCGGCTTTATTAGCCGCTAGCGCGCGAAGCGCAGGGTTTGCAACGGTGAAAATACGCGCGCGCCGCACGTGGAAGGGCCACTTCGACTGACTTACCTTGTGATATCAAAACCTTGATTTCGTTAGGCGGCAAATATCAAAACAATTGAACTTTAATGTGATATGATTGAATTGTCCCATAAGTCTTTGCGTCGAACTGATAAGTAAATACAGTCTGCCTCAATCGGGATCAGGCCGAACCCTCGGCTGAATTTGCGCGCTCGTAGCGCTAGGGGTTTGCGCTGCATACGCGCACTGTCGCAGAGAGCGATGAGATTGAGGAGAGAGCAGACTAGCTAGACGCAAAAGTGGCGCGAAATCCTCGCAACGCGCACTCCCGCCAAGCCAATTTTGGCCTGGTTAGGATTGGGGCAGACTGTAATCAAATTGATTTTCTCAAAAATTAGGGCACTACAGGGTTGCAAATTTGTGGCATATTTCTTAGTAAATAAGCTACATAATCACATATGTGATTCCATGGCGACTTAAGAGAAAGGAGGTGGCCCGCCAAGCACGCATGGTTTCGCCTATTCGCTTTGGTGCTTTCTTCTTTAGATTCGCTTGTAAGTGATAAGTTCAAGGTTTTAACACTATGGCTCTTGAAGAGTGGTAGTTCATCTGTTTTTTTTTTCTACTAATGCACATATACCTCGAAAAGGTGTCAAACTTGACTTAAAGTGCTCCCTAAAATTGATAGCAAGAAAACCACTGGAGATGCATATGATTTTATTTTGGCATTATGTTATTGAGGATTTCTTTTTCCACGTTTTTGACGCATCAATAGATGCATTCAATAAATAGATAAATATATAAATGTGCGAAGAACACAGAAGCACCATAGGCAAAATTTGAAAATTAGCTCATTATTTTTTCTTGATTTCTAGCCATCAGAAAAATGCAGCAAGTATATGTATAAATATCTGATGGGGAGAGTATATGCGTGCGCGTCGCATCTTACTGTTTAAATCAGCTCTGCGGAATCTTCAGAGTTTATTTGAACAATAAAGTACGATAATGTTTTTTTGGATTCAAAATATTTTTTTCATTTTGAATTGAAGCTTAATGCGGATCAATTGGTGCTTCTGAAAGAGCCTGCTTTGATCTGCCGAATGGTACTCCGCATCCTATTCGGAATTTACGGAGAACTTACCTATGTCGGTAAAGAAAAATTATCAAAATTCAAATATTGAAAAATAAACATTTGATTTATAAATTCTAACAGCGATTTTACGTAGGAAGATGAGTTAATTTTAACTTTCGCCAATCCTTCCTTTCTGAAGAGGTTCGGGGATGGCATACAACACAATACTCCGTCTAAGGATAGGAACGAAACAGAGTTCTTGAATAAAGTCATAATTATCAAACATCATCTAATATTACTTATGTCGATGAAATGTCACTTAGAAAAGTTATTTGACAATCTAATACACTCTTGCAGAGCGATGTTAGGATTCTATCCAGGATTATATTGGCGAGTATGCTGGATGATGTGCCCAATTTTTATCTCGGTAAGTCATCTCTGAAAATGTGATATTTATATGCTCTAGAATATTAAATTTTAGATTATCTTCATAATGACTGTTTGGCACGCATCGTTGTCACCTATGCAGTTGCCTGGGTATACATTTCCTACGTGGTCAGTGGGCCTCGGCTGGTTTCTGCGGCTTCTCTCAGTGTTGAGCGTACCCCTCTTTGCCGTATATATGCTGTCATTTGCGAAAGGTTCATTTACCGAGGTACTTCTTTTTGTGGATTGAGGCACGCAGGCAGTGTCCAGACAAGTCTGCGCTCCTGCATTTCTTATGCGGGAACTGTTTGTAGTGTTTCAAGTAAACCACTGCCCAAAAGACGTTTTATATAATCTCAACTCTAAGCTCCGCCCTAAGACCATCCTCACTTGCCTGGACAGTGCCTTTACTGCTTTTTTGATATAGTACATGTGAAAAAATATTCTACTTGCAGCGCCTTCGCTGGGCAACAACGCCGCAACAACGACGAACGTCCGTTTCATCGCTGAGTGCCGATCCTACCCAAATTATAGACAGCACTCTACTTCATCCTGTACATACTCTAACACAAGTTTAATAGCCAGTTTTAGTTCCAGCCAAATGCTGCTAGTCAGAAAGATTTTAGCACAGGGCTAAGCATACGGTGTTATTTGCGGATTTAGAAAGCAAAATTTTGTTTGACTTTGAAGATCACCACCATTTGAAATGTCCGTAATGGTGAGACTACAAAACCATCCGCAGGCATGTAAAGTTGAAGAAAGTTAGCGCATGGTTAGCGCAGAAAACATACTGTGACAAAGCAAAGCGGAAGAAGCCTGAGGGTAGCTTGTGCACAGTAGCTAGGACATAGAGTAGAATATAGATTGGCAATTTTGCGGTTACAAGTATCAGGTCTGGCATTTCAAGCCGACAGAGAAGGCGTCTGTAGGCGAATACAACTTTGCCACTTTCGATTTTCACGATTTCCCACTTGACCGCCAGCTGTGCGGGTCGTTCTGGTAGGCAGTGACTCGGGAAAACTGCGACTGCAAGCTATTTATCCTTCCTTGGCCTGCTAAATGCGCTGGACACCTAGTACTGTGCTTAAGTTCTCTCAAAGCTGACAAAAAAGTGCTTTTTTGTTACCTACTCCAGCCTAGGAGATTATTGAAAGGAGCTGGAAGAAAAATTGCGAGTGGCTGCAGGAGACTGATGGATGTAGTCACCCACCCGTCTTGGCGGCACTAGTTAACTCAGGCAGCCAATCGCGCCTTAGTTGGCGCTCAACCCGTTTAACAATCTATAGGGCCGGAGCCATAGCATTTTTTGACAACTTCGAGAGATTTTGAGTACACTACTGGCTCAGCGCAACCAGAAGACCAAGAAAAGATGGGAAACTCGCAGTCGCAATTTTCCCGAGCCAGTGCTTTTGAGCACGCTTTTTTCCTTGAGAGAACCGGATGGTAGCTAAGGATCCTAACAAAAAGAAGAGGAGGAGTTTCACAACCAAAATGGTGCTAAATGGTAGAGTGTAAGTGCTAGACAGACTTACGTGAAATTCTTGATAAATTATGTGAACTGAAGGTTTTGTCACCCCCTACTGGAAAAAGTTGCTCTTTATTCCACAAATTTTTCGATTATTTCATTCGTTCTTACCTAATTTCTCACTATGCATATACACACCAGACTTGGGGCAATATACCTGTGCGTTGAAAGCGGGTCATTTTCTGTGTGTGCATTGTAAGGTCCTAACTAAGGCACTGCCCAAGCGTCAGCGCAAATGATTTATTCACGGCTGAGAAATTCGTCCCCAAATCCTCCGCGCCTGTGCCGGAGCGTAACTCGCGGGTGATTTAGAATGAGTCCCAGCCGACGTAGCGTTAATGTGAGCGGAGTCCATTTCTCGTACGGTCATGGCGCAGAGCGTGGGCTTTGGGGACGGATTTTCAGCCGTGAATGAATCATTTGCGCTGCCGCTTGGGCAGTGGCTTAGTTAGGACCCCTCATCAGTTAATTTGCCTGGACACTGTTACAGTTACATCTCGTCTTCTTAGAAGAATTAAAAGCGCCTGATCGAGTTTGATACGCTTTTTCGTAAACCGCAGAGAGTTTACGAAGAAGTGTGATAGAAATTGGAGCAAGTATGAACAGTTATGCAAGATGAGTGATCAGGGCTCGGCACAGCTGGCACCGGGTCAAGCTGGATGTCGTTTTTGGGCGGGAAGCAAATCGTTTTTCCGGGGGTCCACGGCGGAGAAGTGCCGCAAGAAGACCGCCGGCATGCCACCGGCATGCTGTCCATCAACAAACAAAGGCCTCGTTCTCAGCCAAAGTGCAATAGTATGACACCAAATTTGGTGTGTGCATGCGTGTTGGTGGACCGGAACTATAGCCCAAAAATTTATGAAAACTTATGTGAATGAAAGCTGTGCCGAACTTTTTTCTGAATTAGCTGGCACCGTGCCAGCTGGGTGCCAGCTGAGCTGGCACCGACACTTCGCTCACATAAGTTTCCATACTTTTCTACATAAAATGTATCTATACTGTAAAAGTTTACATACAGAGAAGAAACATTTTCATAATGTTTTCTTTTCAGCGTTTTATAGCAATTTTAAACTTACTCAGTCTGCTCCGCAATCGAAAAATCGGCTTTTTCTGTTTCTCAAGATGTGATTCAACCACATAAAAAGCTCAGAAATTTGTGAAAAGTGGTTCCATGAAATCAGCATGCATGAAAACCCTACTACATACTTTTACAAAATCCAAAAATGACGACTTGTCTTCAAGACTGGTCAAAGGGGACTTCGTACGAAATTTACAAGATCAAACGGGACTTCGTTTCAAAATTTCCCTGGTGCCAGCTCGTGTCGAGCCCTGTGAGTGATACTCTCCTTATAGCCGCCATATATGGGAGGTGGTTATCGTTTATATATAAACGATAACCACCTCGCATTTCCCGTCCATGCCTAGCCCTGCTTTGACTGATCACATTTACAAACAAACAATGATCGTCGAACAATTTGTTTTGTGATACCAATCGTTTCTTCACTTGTGTGATGTTTTGGAATTGATCTCGATGTGTAAGACAGGATGGGAGAAGGTATTTTCGCACGAGCGCTTTCTATCGCCACCGTAATGACTTGTTTTAAAAGTGGGTCCCGGCAAAACTTCAATGTTCAGTTTTTCACCTATTCGGAGCATTCTCGCCATGAAGAAGCCATATCTGGGCTTTTCAGCGCATGAAAATGGCAATGCTTTTTTCGAAGCTGTCCAGATCGCATTCAGTGAAAATGCCGGAAGTCTTCCGCGCTCCGCCTCCATCGCTTCAGACTCCGCTCACTTACGCGTATTTTACACTGTATACGAACTTGGAAAGCTTCAAGAGAAGCTCATTCTTGCCATTTTCATGCGCTGAAAAGCCCAGATATGGGTTCCTCACGGCGAGAGGGCTCCGAAAAGATGAAAACTTGAAAACGGGATTCTGCTGGACACTGCCTTCAGCACCCTAGACACGCAACTAACTGCGTAGGAAAAAACCGCCGCAGGGTGTGTCGCTCGCGACGGTGGTCCTAGATGAAAAGCAAAACGGTCGTGCGGAACGCCTTTTACCCGACAGATTGATGCATTTATTATGTTTCATAACTAAGTGATAGATAGCAGTTTGTTATAGCTCAGTTTAGGAAGAACATTAGTAAGCCTTGCGTACTAAGCTGTTTCTGTTGATCTCTTCTGGGCCTGATTACAAATCTACAAACTTAATTTATTCAAATAAGAAAAACGAGTGTATATTTCCATCAACGGCAATGATAGTTGTGTGCATACAGCAAATGTCGTTTTTTTGTGCTGGATTTGTATAAAACGTTGTACAGTGCTAGTGTTGCATGAAGCCGCCTTAAAAAAATTCCCAGACAATCGGCGAAATTTATTAGTGAAAATGCTACATTACTGCCGTCACAGCAATGCTCAGAGAATTTTTCTTTGAAACTATCAAGGATTCTGCAAGTAACTGAGTGAAGGAGAATAGGACCGATAGTTTCTAAGCTTTTCGGATTGCGAAAGTATAATACAAACTAGGGAATCACATTTCTTCAATTCCTTTATCGCGGTTTCCCTAAAGCGGGTTTTTTAACTAGTGTCTCCTGCCTCCATGTTGTCGCGATGATGAGCAAGCATGTATATAAATATCTCGAAGGGAGGGTGCTGTGCAAAACAACGACAATCATAATGGAGGCAGTGGACGAGGACATTTCCGTACAGTCTGAGAACCACAATTTCTGCCAAATTGCAAAACAGATGACAGGAGTAATCCATTTCCTCTTGGATGTACAACAAAGTAGACACTGGCACACTGCTTGGCTCAGTAAATTTTGTGGCCTACCTGAAAAGGGATAATTGACGGTAAGATTTTGATGGTTCACGGTCGTACACAACATAATCACCAGGGACAAATCACTTTTACATCACCAAATCGTATGTTCCCTAACGCATTGATCAGATTCTTTATCTTCAAAGGCAAAGCCCTTAAAATCTTCAGCATATTCGTCCACAATATATTCTTCCGCAGAGTCCATCTCTCCATTCACAAGCTCTGTTTGCTGAAGCATATAAATTACGTAAACGTGTAGGAAGCTTTAGTAAGCATGATAGCATAGTAGCGACACTTTCTCAAATACAACTTATAGCTTGAAGGAAATTCTGAGGCCGTATTCATCATTGCTACCTTGAGGTAAAATGAACCTTGAGGTACAGTTGTGACCGTGGAATTTGTCCAAAATTGCGGGATTTTCGGGATTCGCGATGTTTGCGGGATTCGCGACTTCACGGGATTTGCGGGATTCGCGGGATTTGCGGAATTGCGGGATTTAGCTATAACCTCTTTTAAATCCATTTTATTTGCAATCTGCGTGTAGATTTGGCTTCAGCTTGATGAGACGAATCGTTTGATATACAATATGTCCGTAATTCGTGGTGAGGGGGTAGGCTTACAATGATACCTTGTTGTTCTCTATGTTAAGGCTTTTGTGAACATTTATTACAGCGTAAGTCACGAATAGCAGGTTCTGGTACGAAGTTTTCATTACCGAAAACTATCGCGAAAAATTGGGCAGTTTTTATTTACCCTTATCACTGATATAAGCATTTATCACTGATAATATCACATTTTTGGATCATTTTTTGCATATGGTAAGGAAAGTACTGTAGGAAAAGCTGTGTGAGTTTCTATCGCTCTTTCTCTCATTATAAGTGATCTACAGGCTTTTCTAGTTCTATTGCTCGGTGCAATTGGTAGATCCCTCGCTGCAGCAATCGATCGATTTTTCATCGGCACATGCCATTGCTGCCAATTCTTACCTAGAATGGCATTTTTGCTTCAACTCGCTTCACGCCGAAGCCTGGGCTGAAATTCTGCACCTATATGGAAGATGAAAGTGGAGATCAACCGCATGAATTTAAGCCATTCTTATCTGTTGTTGTCATTGATATCATCATTTTATCATTTATCACTGACGACACAAAATTGGATCATTTTTGATATACAATAAGAAATGTACTTTAGAAAACGCTGTGTGAGTTTTTATCGCTCTATCTTTTATACTA